CTGAATGCTCTCAAACAGTCACTTGGGACCCGGTCAATCTCCTGAGCGGACGCCTTCTCCCATGTCAGACTTCCTCCATCTTTTCTACTTTCCCTTGTGTACACAATATATTCTTCCTCCTACTTTGCCTTTATCGAGTTCTCTTCTCTACTAAATAACCATGGTCTGAAGATCACAGTTGCTGGGGTTAACTCAATTAACCCCCTGCGATATGATTTCTACATTGTTTTTCTCTGGGTCTGGACAGTTGGGACTATTCAAAAATATTGATTGCAAATACTAGAATATTTACCCCACTGACGCAAGAGTACTTGCTAAGTCTGCCTAGTAGTCAGCTCGTGGATTGCTTGGGAAATTCTACCTGAACACTGAGCTAACTGTATCAGAGCTGGTGGATTCTATACATTGCAGAAGACTGAGCGGGTAAATCGATTCGTGCGATTAACTTCATGGTTTTCCGGGGGGGGGAGGGTGTCTCGATAGTTCAGCTGGCTAGAGCGTTGGCTGTAATACAGCCTCCCTTTGCTGGCCTGGGTCCGACTGACTTATTCAAATATGCTAAACCCCTCGTAATGCTCGTTAAAGCCCTTACACAGACTTCTGTGACTGCACGACGCAGCTCTGAACTCTCAACGCTCTGTCATGACTAGCTCGCGTCGAAACGAACTTTGCAAAAGCTCACGGTCGCTGTTTTCGATTTCTGGGAACAGCCAATTACAGATGCCGCAAAGCTAGCCTCTTGCCCGGCAACGAATAACACGCCTGCACGCGTGGGCCGATGCAGTTTGTCTGGCCAAAAACTTTCAAGGCTGCTGGGATGCCTGCTGCTTAACCCGCACTTAGGACCCGGCTAGCCTCCTACCTGGTCGTGCTCCCCGAAATCAAACTTCTTCCTGCTTATTTTCTATACCTCTGTATACAGAATAAACCTTCCCATTATTCTGACCTCCACCAACGTCTTCTCTCGCAAGAAACCATGGTCTGAAGATCGCAGTTGCTAGGTTTTAACTCGCTTAACCCCCTACGATAGCGCTCTTAGTACCCTCCAATGGCTTCCTTGTATGTGATCTCTGGCTTCCATATTACCTTTCTAAGTTCCGCGGAAGATGTATGCTCGTAGGTGGACTAAAGCCTTCGGAAAAAGAAGAATTTTACGTTTTCTCCAAACGTTTTTGTGGATATTCGAACTGGAAGCCATCAGTTGCATGGATTTAACGCGAGGGTGCCTGTATTAGGGTTGGGAGAGACAATTCTTATTTATAATATGCTATATAATAAATTCCAACAAAAATACAATGATTACTTATTCAAAGGGCGATAGAATAGAGGCAATAACGTCTGCTTCAAGGTA